TAAATCTGTCCTTCAACTTTTTAGCTTTAGCATTTGTCGCAGTGCTTGACCTACGGTAGATGTTAAATAAGGGTTTGCAGAATAAATTCATGAGGTAAAAAATTGGTTGATAGAGAGGATAAATGTTAAAGAATTTGAAAGGCAAGGTGATTGTGAGGAGGCTCAAGCAGATAGGAAAAGTATCACAAAAGAGATGAAACTTGAGACTTTATCATAATGAACGGTATGAGAAAAGAAAGAAAAGTCATTGATCAAAGAGTTGAGGATGGTGATGTGGGGAAATGGAGCCATGTCTTAAATAACACTTGCAATAAATGATCTAAAACAATGACTGAGAGTGTTGAGTATGTAAAGGTGTTGATGCCTTACCTAAAAGCAGTAAAGCAACTTGGCAATTCTCCAGCCAGTTGCCGAAGACACGGCCAAGTGCACGATGCTTTTGTGGGAGAGGAGCCCTCAGATAGAAGGCAATTATTTATAGGCTTTCAGTAAATAGGATGAAAACAGGGGCTTGGCTTTGAGTTCCCATAGGAGGACCTCACCTTGGAAGGTCTGCTCACACTTAAGCTGAGGGGCAGGGGAGAAAAAAAAAAGTGTGTTCTGTTGGCAAATTAAAGACAAAAACAGCCAGGATCTCAGAGCTGGATCTATTATTCTGCTACTTCGGCAAATCCCATAGCCTCTCCGTCTTAATGGTTACTATTACGATATTCCTGGAGATAATATTTCCTTCATTTATTCTCTAGCAATCAAAAAACACTTGTGAAGTACCTCTAAGCCTTAGATAGAACTAAAACATTCTTTTAAAAACTACCTAATTTAAACCAGTTACCCAACTTGCAACATTTTAAAATATTTAACATTCTAATTTGTGTCATAATCCCAAGGACTAACCAACAAAAGAGCATCCAGAAGAAAAAAATTACTGTAGAAATAGGCATTTTTTGTGTGGAATAGAATAGTAAGGTCATTTATAAAATGGCTCATTAATAGTACAGTGGCTGGCACATCATTGGTAGTCAATAAAATATTTGTTGAATGAATAAATGTAGGCAGGGACCTTATCTTATTCACAGCTGTATACCTAATCCTTAGATGAGTGCCTGCTACAAGGTATTTATATTTTGATGGAATAAAAAATAACTAATTACCTGTATTTATTTCTTCTGCAATCATTTACATTGTATTACATATAAACTTGATATGCAGATTCAATATTAAAACTTCAAGTGCTGCTCAAGAGGCTGGGATTTGGTTCTAAGCTAGTGCAGCATAACTTTTCCACTAGAATGTAAGCTCCATAAGACAGAACTTTGTCTAAGTTAGTTGCTTCTTAACATTTTTAATAAAAATGCATTAAATGAAGAGTGCTAACTTTCAGCAGTCTATTCTAAAAAAAAAAAAAAAAAACCCACAAGAAAAAGCCAAGTTCCTTTGCTATAGTAATAAGCATCTTTCATGTCATGATCTTCAGACATTTTAGCTCAGAATTTCCAGCCTGTGAGTAGATGGTACCATGCCTGACGTCCGTGCAACTGGGCCAGCACCTCTGATTAATTTTTAATCTAACTTTTATGAGTTTTCTCAGTGTTAACCACAATCTAAGTGGGGGTATATAAATTTAAAACAAACAAACAAAAAGATTGTCTTTCAGGAATGAAAAATAAATGTAATCTGAAATCAATATTTATGAAGTTGTGATTAATTGACTGATGACCAAATGATTACAAAACGTCTGTCTGAAACATCTACTCAAATTTATTAGCTTTGACGAAAAAAATTAAAAAACAATCTGAACTGGGTCAATGAAAGAATAATGCATTCCTAATCAATTTTTAATAGCACTTAAGATTTTATATTTTTTTAAACTTGCTTTTAAATAATTTATCATAAAAATGAATCTGATTTAAACAAGGGGTAAAAGGTGTTCCATAGCTATTTGATGGTTTTCTTAGGAAAGAAATTCAATTATGACTGATTTTATTACTGAATTATTTTATTAATAATAATACATCTTGCACTTACACGAAGGCATCAGGCCAACGATTTCAGGGTCCAAGAAAAATCTAGGATTTAGCTTCAACTCTACAATTATCTGATGGTTTACCTTATCTATGCCTCAATTCCAACATCTATAAAAGAAAAGACCTATGTAAACCCCCCTAAAATCCTTTCTAGTTCTAAAAGTTTATAATTCTAAGGATTTAGGAGGTTTAGCCCATCCCAGGTGCTACCTCTGATAGAACGCCTCAGGTTACTAAGGAGTTCTGATAGAACTCCTAAGGCTACTAAGAAGTTGAGAAAGAAATGGAGCAGAAAGTTAATGAGCCATGTAATCTTTGTTTTCCTATTAAAGTAATGATAACATTATTTAACAGTTTTGGCCAAATAATGACTGAATGAACATGATTTGTTGAAGAAGGAAATGCCCGTCATAAAGCAGAGGGAAGACATAGTGTTCATGGCCTTAAACTCTCTGCATTATTAAAAGCAAAGCCTGGGAGTTGGCCTGGAATCAATTTGGACCTAGAGAGAGTCCTAATCAGCTGGTCTTGCTAACAATATTATTTAGATGTATGTGTGTGTGTGTGTGTGTGTGTGTGTGTGTATTTATCTACAAAGTATTAGTGTATAAAGCAGGTATGCTATTGTATGATCCTATTTGTGCTTATGCACAGTAATATATGAATTAAAATATTTGTAAAGATATGCTCTAGAATGTCTATAGTGATTACCACACAGGACAGAGAGGTGAGGCATAAACGCAGAGGAACTTCTGCTTATTACTCTATATATGTATAAATGGCTTAATTTTCTTAAGATGAGCCTTATTATTTTTATAATTAGCAAAAAAGCAATAGTCTTCCATTCTGAAGTGGAAAACAAGTAAAGACAATGTTTGAAACAGCCTGGGGTAATAATAAAGGTAGTTCATAGCTGAAGAAAATACTATGGTTTGTAGAACAGTCACTTAATACCAGATACTAGATAAATCAGATACAATTCCTGACCTCAAGAAACAGTCTGTTGTGGGGACAAACACATAAACAACCAACTATATAACCATGTGATCACAGAAGTAGATATATGGACAAAGCACTAAAACAGCACTGAGAGGCTATGACAATGATAGTAACTGTGAAAAGAGATGTTGGAAATAGTTTAGGTTTTAACATTCTACTTAAAATATAGGTTATGATTTTTAAAATTTATCTTTGTGACTGAGTATTAACACCAATCTCCAAAATGGTTAGCAAGAAATGAACTTGCTCCAGCAGCAATGGAAAAGTCTAAAATATATATATATTAGACATGCTTTTACCCTGCGCTGTTTCCAGGGATCAATGTGAGAGATGGAATATTCTCAGTCCTACATCCCACTCAGAGGGTGGGGATGACAGGCCCTAAAATACCACCTTAGGTATAAGCAAGATAAGAACAGGGAATGGGCAAGATGAGAATAGGGAAGAACATAGTAAGATGCGGAAACCTGAATGACACTAGGTAATGACCTGGAGCTTTCTCATTCTGAAGCCTGAGAGCTAAAGCCAGGAATGTGAAAGATGCATTAGCAAAAATGTGAATTCGAGTTCTCATATAATATGACTTCAAACAGCCAGGAAATAGCCAAACCAGATGACTTATGCCAGGCATTCTGAAAAAAGTGGCCATTTAACAATCAATATGACTTTTGCCCAGTTGTCTAATTCCAAGCATATGATAGTCTCCGGCTCCTAGGAAATGAAGTTACTGAGCTGTCTGGAAGAATTCTTAACTGTCACCTGTGAGCCGATTTAGAACTAGATTTAGGCTTCTTCAAGTGAACTACTAGCTGCTCCAGTTTCATTTTTGCCTGTTCCTTTTACAGACATGGCGGTAGTATAATACATTGACCTCATTGAACACACACACACACACACACACACACACACACACACACACACACACACACTTTTAACAACAAGGAAGCTAAGAAGCAGAGAGGTTAAATTTTCTGAGGCTGGTAGAGCCAGGAAATTGTTCCGACAGGGACTTCTACTCCCACAATCCAGGTCCTGCACGTCTTTCCTTCAACCAAGAGGCTGTTTCTTGAGATGATACAGCCTCTTTTCAACTCATAGATTGTATTTGTTTGCATAAATCGATCACATTGGCTCTTCACTTAAAGTTGCAGTTAAATCCCTAATCTGTTATGTTCAAGATTCATTTAGGAACTTTCGGTTTTCCTTTTTCATTGGTAGGAAATGGGAATTTATAACCTCACACGTTCTCGTTCGGAATTCGACAGCACAGTGGTACAGGTCATATCCATCCATACACGCTTTAAACTCAAGTGCATTCTGGGAATGGGAATGGTTTACACTATTAATACAGCTTTCTCACCTGTGGGTGTGTAAATCAATCTGTGGCTCTGACCCTTAAATCTCACTTTAGATAGAAATCACAGAAGCGCCAACAGTGAAAACGTGTCTTCAGGGAAAGCTGCGATTAAATATACTCAAAACGTCCCAGAAACAGATAAAGACACAATCATAGTTTGTTCTTTTTAAGTGACATTACATCATTTAAGAATAAAGAGAGCTGAGAGTGGCAGAAAGTTGTTTTGAAAAATAAAAATGTAAAGATCGTTTTTTCTCTTCTTGTTTTGACTGCACGGTCTGTTTGCAGGCTGTGTGGGGTTTAATCTTTGGGCGGAAAATTCCCCCCACCCACCCACTCTCCGGGAAAGACTTGGGGATTTAAAATCGTCTTTATTTTCTCTCCTCTCACCACTACTACGCTTTCATTTAAACTTTCAAGATCCTCAATACCTGTACTAAATCGTCTTCCCTCTCATTCCCAGGAATCTTGCAGCTTCTGACCAGGGGAAAGTTTTTTCCAAATTTAAGGAAAGAAGAAAGAGAAAAACCGTGGCGACCGCGCGTTTCAAGAGCGCGTTTTCGTTTCCTCTCCTGGCGGGCTATGGCCCTGCTGGGCTGCCGTAGCCGGCCTCGCGCTGTCCCAGTCGCAGCAAGGATCCGCGGTCGGCGGGACTTCCGTGTTGGCGGGATTCTGAACGCTGCCATGGCTCAGACTGTGCAGAACGTTACATTGTCGCTCACTCTGCCCATCACGTGCCACATTTGCTTGGGGAAGGTAATGGGTGATTCCAGGCACAGCTACGAAACGGGATCGGGTATGAAGTCACTCGCCGGAGCCGAGGGCGGTCTCCGTGTGTAGCGGGGACCGGGCGTAAGGCGCCGAGATGGGTGAAGATGCTAAGCCGTATTCGCAGGCGATGGGAGCCCGTGTCCTGGGGACCGAGGGAGGGCGCGATGATAAAAGGGTTGATCTGTGCGCCTTCCCGAGGGGGATGACAATGGCCTGGGGTTTGAAGGAAGGGCGGCGATACGGCTTTGCTACCGCCGGCGGCCTCACCCGGCCAACGCCGACATCGAAGGAGGCCTCGTTAGAAACGAATCGCAACAAGATTTTACTCTTCTGTGCAAACCCGTATGGCGTGTAGTGAAGCCCATTAAAGCACATTTCCTGGAGACCTCACCTAAGGTTCTTTCGTACCCTACACAATTAGATGTTCATGTTCTTGGGCCTGCAGTGCTAGGTGGGGAGTCTTCCACGTCCAAGATCCTTCTCCTTGCTTAACCTGGCCTTGAGTGGCCTTTGCTCTGGATTCAGAATTTGAAAAGTAAATAACACGTGTCTCTGAATGGAGTTTAGAATGAGAGGTATGGTCTTAAATTCCGAGAACAGATCAGTGACGAGATAGAATACCCTTTCATTGTGATGCAAGAGGTGCCTAAAGTATTTTGTGATACTAGGTAGAGAACGTAGTTCTGAATTGGAAACGGAGTTTTGAATGTTTTGATACAGTCTTCTCCGATTCCTTTCTGCTTGTGCCTCCCATTCGATTTATAAAAGAGCATTTCTTAACTATGTACATCAAGAAGGGAGAAGATACTGTGAACGACCTGATTTTTTCTCCATTCTGATTTTTTTTTTTCCGTTGGTGGTGTGTCTGTGTGTTTACCCCAAGTGCAGACTTAGCTTACAGCTGTCGGCTTAGAATTGAGAAATACAAACTTCATAGAGAAATATTTTGAGTGCCAGCCAATACAATCAACTGCCTTAGGTGTTTGGGGTTCTGTGTGAATTTACTGAGTTCAAGAAGTAGTAGGAAGTCAGGTTTGGAAGCAACTAATAATTCTTGATACCGGTCAGAATGAAATGCCAAGAAAATGTGCTGTGAGAGCGTACAGGGAATGGCTTGATCAGTTCTGACTGGAGAGATCAAGGGTGGTCTAGTGGAGGATGGTATTTGAGCTGGCATTTGCTACCATTGCCTGTGTACATGGCTGGAGGGAGGAGCTGATGTATCTATTTGCTACAGTCTATATTTGGCCCTTGACATGAAGTTCCCACAAGTATATGTTAAGTTCCGAGTGAATTTCCTCCAACAGTAGCCTTAAAGGCTGTTAAAATGTCCTTGGGAAATAATTTTCACTTGGTCTTAGTTGTACATGTTTATATCTAGTTCCCATTAGTTAATAGGCTGTCTTTTTCAATTGTGTTGAAAATGTGTTCATCTTGGTTGATTTTCCATACCTCTATCCTTTTTATGATTAACAAAAATGATACCTAATAGAATATAGAGATTTGAGGATTACAGAATGCTTTCATATGCATTTAATTATTTCATTTACTCCTCTCACTAGTGCTATGAGATAGTGAGGACTGATTTCCTCATTTTTTAAAGTAAGATGATTAAGGCTTAGAGTCACTAGCATTGGAACCTCAATTGCAACCTTTTGTCTTTAGTAGATTACTTCCTGAAAACTCAACTTGAGTTCATCCGTGACAGCAGAAACTTTTGGTGTCCTTCTGCCTCCCGGTATTAGCTGTTTTCTAAAATTAAATCTGATAATAAAAGATAACAATTTGTAAACAGGCATTTTTACAGAAGCAGAAAGGTATGGTGGTTGAGGGCCTGAGTTCTATGTTCAGACTGCATGAATTCTAATCTAGGCTCTTCTACTTACTAGTTATATGACCTTACATAGGACATATTACTTAATTTCTCTCAGAAAATTTTCCTTATCTGTAAAATGGGAATGGTAATAGTATCAATATCCATCCTTGTGTTTTGGGGAGGAATAAATGAATTAATTCATATGCAGTGCTTAACGTGAAGTCTGGCACATAATAATATTCAATAAATACTAACTTTACTATGGCATCGAGGCAGGCCCTCAAACTGAGGAAATCAGCCTTTTCTAGTAATTGTTCTTCCCAGTTGCTTTGTGAGGCTGGTACCCTGACTAGATGAAGATTTGCATTACCAGCAGAGTGGGACCTGTTTGTTCTGGAAATTGCCACAGTACATCTAGGGGTTTTAACTGGTTCCATATGACTGTTGTTTTTTGTATAGTTGAAGCAAATCTGATCAGCTTGTGATACTCACCCTCCAACATACACTTCTACTTGTGGGTTACTGGAGATAGCATGGCCTGGAACAGCACCCGATATCACTTCCACTTCCCTGACATACAGCATCTTCAGCCACCTCTGACATCTGCCTTAAGGCCCTCTTTGCCTAGCCCTCTATGATTCTTGTGATAATGATTCTTGTGCTGCCATCACCATTTGTCCCCAAAATCTCACCATCAGCAATCTTCTCTTTTGAC